TTCTGAGCTCATTTACATGGAGCAGCCTGTGGGGTTCGAAGAAAACGGTGGGTAAATGGTCTGCCAACTCATTAAGTCTCTCTACGGCTTGAAACAAGCACCTGCAGTATAGAACAAGACGTTGCATACACTACTTGAGAAGCTGGGTCTCACCCGTTTGGACATTGACTATGGCATCTACGCTATGTACAACGACGACGGAGATGTGACGATGATTCTAAGTGTGTACGTGGATGACCTCCTGTTGATGGGACCGACAACTCTATGTACCAAGATTGCAGAAAAGCTTAAAAATGCATTCACCTTGACGAGCATGGGTGAAGTCAAGTTCCTGCTGGGAATTGAGATTACGATCGACAGGGCGCACAACAAAATCATGTGTTGCCAGCGGGCGCACACCGACAAGATCCTAAAAGCCTACGGGATGCAGGATGCCTACGGATGCATGACTCCACAGTCAACCAGCGAGTCGAAGGCTAACGTGAAAGCCGTTGTGCCTGGTATGAAACTACCGTACCAAGAGATTGCCGGGTCACTGCAGTACCTAGTAACGAGCTCGCGGCCTGACATTGCACATGCGGTACGCCATTTGGGCAAGTACCTGCCGTGCTTTGAGCACAAGCACTACCGTGAAGCCCAGCGGGTTCTCCGGTGTCTGAAGCAGACACGTGATCATGCACTTCACATGGACGTTGTTTCGGGCAAGGACGTTGAAGCTACGGTGTACACGGACAGTGATTACGCTAACGATCCGGATGATGCCAAGTCTATCTCGGGCTACGTCACGTTTCTTGACGGCAATGTCGTGTCTTACGGATCCCGGAAGCAAGGGATCAACGCTCAGTCGAGCACCGTGGCTGAGTACATCGCTATGAATGAAGGGGTAAAGGACATACATGGCTGGATGGCCTATTAGAGGAGCTACGGTGGTCTGCGGCCACACCACTACTGCGTGGTGATAACCAAGCGGCCCTCTATCTTACTGCGAAACCGGGAAAGCACTCAGCCACGAAACATATCAAGAACAAATATCATTTGATTCGACATTTAGTGGAGGACGGGCAACTACGGACTCTTCATGTACCTACTGACGACAATACGGCTGACATCATAACCAAGCCGTTGGCAAACGCAAAATTTACAAAGTTTCGAAAGCAATTGAAGGTGATACCTGTATCAAGTCTAGCTACTGCTACTGCTACTGCTGAACATCAACACTAGCTACCCAATCAAGTGCAAACGTTCGAGCCACTTGCTAGGCTGATCCTGCGGGTCAAGCCAGCTCGACGCGCGTCTCGAACGAGTGGGGGTGTGAGGTACCAGAGTGTACCAGTGCCAGACTGCCAGCGAGCAGTGCTGGCACCGACGTGTAGCAGCGGCCACACGGTCGCGTAAGCGATTGTACTCCATATTACTCCTGCGATGGTGAGCGGCGCGGTCTCTCATGGCGGTTGCAACCGCCCAAGTCCTCAGCACCAGCACCTGCAGCTATATAAGACAACAAGAGTGGTTAGCAACTGCTCACTAAATAAATCATGGGTACCAAGGTTGGCTGCGGCGCAGCTCTGCTCTCACTTCCAATCGTACCAGCGAGTACTCAAGCTCCTCACCTTGGTTGTTCCCGCCGCGGCATTCTGCCAGGCAACTCCCTGCCTTCCACCTCGTCTATCTTGCTCTTCCCTTAAGTATACGTGATGCTGGAGCCTACGTCACGCTGACGGTAACTACAAGGCACACAGTACGTCTCACGGGTCACTCTTTATGTAACCTGGGGTACACTGGATTGTACCCCGTAGACCTTGAGAGAATGGCAGAGGCTACAGAAGTCCATTCGGCGCAAAACTGGTGGCTATAAATAGAGGAGTTACAGGGTTTACGTTTTGTCCAATCAGATGTTGTATTGGATAGATAGAGTTGAAACAATGGGTCAGTTTCGCGTGATCATTTTCGACCAGAGGAAGTAATACTGCACAGCTCAGCTGTTAGTGTCTAACAGCTCGGAGCTGTGCGTCGGTCTCGACGCATCCGCTGCAATGCAGCCTGCAAGTACATGTAGTGCTCGGGAGCTGTAAACTACAGTGAAACCTGTCCTAAATGAACCTTGAGAAATCTGATATCTTGTCGTACATACCAAGTCCATTCCCAAAGATTACTGTGGAGTAAACTTGATATAGCTCAAATGACAAGCCTGATACAAAAGTTTGAGGACAGCAAGTGTATATGTGTAGCCTACGACAACGAAGTGGTCGTTAAAAACCTTGTAATTAGTTTTATATCAGTAACCAGCAACCAGCAGTCTTGAAACTGTTTGCTTCATTCTTCGACTGCATCGAGAACACGATTTGTACCGTGTGTGTGCTCTGGACGCAGTCGCAGTCGGCAACCTAAAGTAGATATGGCCAAAAATTGTAACTTGTCTGGACTAAATTTTAGTGGTCCTCCCTCGAGACAAAACGCTATCGTGCTATAACTTATCTGAAAATGATTATCATGCTACGTGTTTTAAATACTCCATTGCAGTAAAGCCCTACATAATAATATTGTTTTATATTTTAATATTAGGATATAATATTATAATGTATACATGCAATTGCGGCAGCCAACGCTTTTCCACCTACACGATGTAGGTGAAGGAGCGTTTAATGACCTAGTTAACAAATGATTGCTTATCAATGAGTCCAGGAGAGACTTACATGCCTAAATCCATATAGACAGTTTCAGCATGATATACCTGTGTGCTTCCGCGTTAGACCTGGAAGCGCACAGCGAAGTACATTTGCATTTTACATGTTAAGCCGGCGTGCTTCCCCACCTCGCTCATATGCGTGATATTGGCGCCTTTTACCGACCTTCTAGCTCCTGACGACCTGAGTAACATGATAAGCTGCTATACCTGCTAGAGGAGTCGTCCACGGGCCATACCAGGTAGGACAGGTTTTACTGTACTGTACAGCCTGTAGTAGTACTTGTACATGTACACACCGTGGGTACAGAAGCTGAGGCACTGAGCCTGGTCGCGGTTGAAGAAGGACACGTGATTAGATGCATGGATCAATGGGACGAAGTTGTGCCCGGGTCTATGTATTTCAATTGGTACAATAATCTCCACAAAAACGGAACGCACATTGCTGATCGTCGATTGTGCTGGCGGTAATCGAGCTTTTGGCGGCGCTTTACGATCTGCCACGTCAGTGACGTCGCCAGCGTTAACAAGAGATTCCGTGATACGATTGGTGTGTACGTCTGGTGATGCACGTTGTATTAATCCCGTGGTGGCACAGCCGGTGGCTTAGCCACAGCAAAAATTGAAACTGTACATGTCGATAAGGATTTTGTGGTTTTATGTTATACAAAATATACTGTAACATTTTTTCTACTGCATGGAAATCATTCCGGCGATGGAGTCTACTGCACCAATTTACTACTACACTGTACCCTTTATTGCTGCAACGATGCAGACGATACTGTACACTGACGGCCACTTGTCCATGAATGTGCTTATACATGTTAATGCATTTGTGTTTTTTAAAATAGTAAGATCCTGTCACTGCCTTCAAGCGTTTTCGCATACGCTGTTATGTTAAAAGCTCGTTTAACCGCAAAAAACTCAAGAGTACAGTACAATGTATTGTGCTCTTGCGAGTTAGCTGTACACATGCATCTTCATGCACTGTACCACTTGACAGACCTCCGGACCGGATTTGGTGGATCGCCGGATTGACCTTTATGTGCTAGCCAGTGTTCTTGCGAAGCGGATGGCTGGGGATGAGCTGGTAAAAAAGTCGCCCGGAGCTGCGCTGAGTTCATGGAGTTCTTGGTTAGACGACTGAAGTTTTGGCTTGCTTCATCGTCCACCCACCAAGAAAGAAGAGTGCGAAATACGTCCACTCTTTTCTATCAGCAGAACCCAGATAATATTTAAAAGATTACTGAGATAAATCTTAAATCTGGGCAAGTTTCAGCAAAATACGACAATTACAATAATGTACCAACGTCGCGATTAGCAAATCTCATTAGTCAAATAGTCAAAAAAAATGATTAGTAATAAAAGAAAGAAAATAAATGGGCGAACTCAAATGGGTATCTTTTTGTAAAGAAAAGTATCTACAGAGCTTTCAAGCATCCTGCTGAAGAAGGAAGGGGTCGATTATTTATACGCACTACACAGAGCAGCATTTAGTTTGTTATTCTTTATACGTACGAAGAGACGACGGGATTCACTATTTTAATTCCAAACGTTCATTTTTAGGTATTCTTTCTAGGTAGATGCTCACAGAGTTTTCGCTACAAATACTGGCTGGTTGTTCTCACGTTGTGCAGTTACTTAGCCAATTTCAAGGAATATCGTTTTGAGTGGTATTCTCTCGAAAGTTGCAGAAGACAGTTCAGTGCTTAACGATAGCAAGGGTCGATTAAATCGACCCTAAGAAAACAAAACCTGTTTATTCAGAATTGTATACTATTAAAAACAGACTTAAGTAGTCGAAACAGTTTTGATCTAGACGTGCTTTAATCAAGCAGTGTATAGCACATGATCTACACGAGGCTATTCCAATACTTCATTATCCAGAACATCAGTTTTAATTTCATCACCCCTATTTCCGTGGTTCATATTCATATTAAGATGTGACCCATTTGACCATCAAAAAGGGTCTACTACGCAACTACAAAAACGCTGAAACGGTACACATCACGCAAACCTAGCCCTCAACTGAAAGTTTGTTTGCTTTGGTCACACTACCGGTATGCAAAATACATGTACATGTACTACGTAGTACAACTAGTAGTATCTGGCACAGTGACACCAAAACATGCACTCAAGGTTTGCAGCAGTATACCCATCACCATTCTTCTTCAAATCGCACTCCTTGACGAGGTACAGCACTGCTCCGAAAAGAAACGGGAAATTCAAAAGACAAGTTCAGGATCATTGTGCATTTTGCAGCCTCGGACTCACTCGTGCTGAGGTGGCTTCCTCGCGGCTATTTCCTATAACAGCTATGGTCCGATTAAGACTGGCGCTCTTCTCGTTGACTGCCATTGCCAGTACATGTACCATCAGCACACAAGCCATCGACTGGACCTTTTGGAACGATGACGACGATCCGACTCCTTCGCCAGCGCTATCCGATACTAAGTACACAGAGACCTTGTCTCCAGCAGCGCTCACAAACATGATGGGGTCTGATTATCTGGATCGTGTCAAGTCTGTGATTAACTCTGGAATGGGATCAAATTCGCATTCGGATTCCGAATCGAACCCGTTGTTTGATGCTGGCTCGGCTTCCGCTCCGCCTACTGCTTCAGCTTCGTCTTCTGGCTCCTTACTCGATTCGGATGACACGTCATCCTCTGCTTGGGACTTGGCAATACCCTCCATGGACGAGATCGCAACGCCTTCAACTGCAGTTACCAACTATAAATCTACCTACAAAAACTGGGTGGGACCTTGGACTCAGTCCTCGGACGCAGCTTGCTACCGCGAGGCTCATTTCATGAAAACCTGTCCGAGTAATTACGACCGCAATGAATTGACCAACACGTGCTGGACGGAGTGTCCAATGGATTATCCTGTGGAGTGTGGCATGCAGTGCATCCAACAAAACAATGACTGCGGTCGTGAGAATGCCGCCAAGGTTTCTGCTGTGGCCATGTCTGCCTTTAGTATGGCTACGTTTGGTGTATTTGGTCAATTGGCCAAGTACGGAAAGCACGTGAGCTGGGCTGTCAGATGTGCCAACTACATGATGGTCTTTGTGAGAGCAGTCGTCCGCTTCACTCGTAACCAAATGGTGCTTGATCCACAGACGTCACAGGCGAAGCTCCTGCTGCTGTTGTATCAGACGAACTACGTCGTTAGTGACCTCCCGGCTACCATCTACGCGTGTTCAGGTAGAAAAGTCCCACCCGGCCTTCAGCTAACACGGCGACTCATTCGTACGGCTCAGCTGGTTCTCCAGCTCGTGATCACCTACGACGACGAAATTATTGAAAGCTGGGAGAAGTTTAAAGCTTTCATGAAGAAAGCCAACTTCACGGAAGCGGCTGATCAAATCACAGAGGGTGAAATCTCAAGTCTGGTGGTGGCTATGAAGCAGAACTCGACGTGTGGTGACGACCTAAAGACATTGACCAATCAGGTCTGGATGACAGTGGATGAATACAGACAGAAGAACCCCAAGATCAGCGAATTCGAGCTCCGCCTAAAGATGAGCAATTCGGACCTCCTTGTGTACCACATCCCGACAGTGACGAACAACTGTATGACTAAAATGATCTCCGAGTCTACAGTGACCACTGCGTACAAGACTCGTAATACACTTCGCAAGACCTACGGAGTCATGATCAACGATCTTATCAAGTCCGGGAAGAGCGACAATGGCTCATCCATGGCTGCGAAACGCCAGGCCTTAGTCTGGATCGACAACGCTTTCACCTTACTTTCGTATGGCTGGGAACCGACCGATTTGTCGACCCTTTTCGGGGAATACCTTCAAACTATCTGCGGTCCCACTCAGTTCATGGGTGAGATCGATGATGGCAAGGAACTCGCAACTCTCGGAATGAATGCTCTTCACAAGGCTTTCAAGAATAGTACGTTATCTTGGACCAAAAAGGGCGACGGCGTCGTCATTATTAATTTTAAAAGCAAGGATACCAAGGACGTGACCGTAAACATAAAGTCCGGTGGTGACAAGATTGACGAAGTCAGTCTCAGGGCTGGAGGTACTGCCCAGTGGAAGTCGAACATCACAGCACTTGGCGGCAAGACGCTGTACATGGATCGCTGGCGTCCGGGCTTCCTTGGTCTCCCTGGCACAGGCGGAGGTTCCTTGGTTTTGTGGGTGCCCGTTTCGCGCCAGGGTGGCCATTTAGAGCTCAATGTCCAGCTGAACGTGAGCTAGACAAGCAAGTTACAACATAGAGTATGTGTGTTGTTGTAAGTCGAGAGTAAAGTCGTCAAAAAGGCGCCAGAAGTACTAAGTTATTAAAGACTTTGAAAATAGATCGACGTTATTCTATCCGACCGCTCTCAGCAAGCTATTCGTAAAATAAACTGTTTAACAATTAAAGAAGTTATTAAACCTGCATTTCGCTGCGCCACAGCCACTGCAACTGGCTTTTAGAGAAGAATGACTTTGATGATCAGCAATATTAACGACCTTTACAAAACTCAATTGCACTCGTTAAAAAGTACAGATGAACCGTAAAAAGGAGCGTTTATTCCCTAAAAATGAAGAAAACGCATGTTAATGCAGAGCACGATAAATTTTATAATGAAAACTAAAGATTTCTACAAAATGGGCTTCTATTTGGACGAATAAGCAAAGTAAAACTACTCGCACAAAAATGGTCTATATTATTTGAGCAGGCCTGTGTTACGCAAGCCGTCTATACTAAGAATAGTGCTTGATGTTTCATTTTTACCACCTCGCAGCAACTCTGGTACCGCTAATCGTAGTTCATTTAACATTTCGAGATTGTTCCAGTGTCAAAGATCCTAACTGAACGGCACGTCGCTGGATCCGAGACGAAGTCGTCAGCTATCTTTTCAACTTTCGTTTCTGCCCGCGTGTCATCGTTTTCACGTCATTTTTTAAGAATTGCTTGATCAGTATCAGGAATGTATCTCCATCGAGAAAATGTTATATTCACACAAACCGATCTGATCAACACACAAGGTCCAGAGCGATTTGCCAGCACCCTGGCAGTAAAGGGGCAGACTCGCCACGACTTTCTATTTCTCTGCAGACATGACCTATCCCGCCTCTGCTGTCGCAGAGTCATCTTTAGTGTTTCTTGAGTGTGCACTGAATGTTGGAGCTGTGATCGGTGATTTCTGCGTTGGCCGGGTCCCATACAAAAATCACAGCACACATCGACGACTGCGCTCACACCACGGTGCCGCGCCCCTCACGTGACTACGAGTCATGACGGGTCTTAGCGCGTTGGACCTGCATGCGGCCAGCATGTACGCAGGCGACACGATAGAGTATTCACCCGTATGTTTGTCTTTGGAGATGCCCGAGGACATCACACGGCCAAAGTCCTCAGGATTGACGAGGACGTTAGCGCTCAGTATCCTATCGACGTGGACACTGATGAGCCGATCCCGCGTGACATGATAGTGCGATTGGCTGTGGACCGCCACGGCAATCGTTTTAAGCCTGCGTGCGCCATTTGGCGCACACTTCGCTCGTATACATTAATACCAGGAGAGTGCAGTGCCCCCCCGTCAACCCGTTGCCTTTGCCAAGGCTATGTCGACCGCAGTCCGGGGTGCTGTGGAGTATGCATTCCAACAGCATCGCAGTGGGTGTGAGGAATTCGTTGGAGAGTGCTCGCAGCCGGAGAGCGATCCCAGCGAGAGACTAGCCAGTACTGGAGACTCGTCGTCGTCGTCCCGCACCGCTGTCGTAGCCAATGCAGCATCGGACGACGGAGAATCTCGATTGCCGAGCCAGTCTGCACGCGATAGACCAACGGATACGCAGACGGCCGACATGTTACCTGCATGTCTCGAGGCGGGGACGTCGCCGTCCAGCATTATCCGCGTAGGCGATACATGTAACGGGGTTTCATAGTGTGGAACACACAAGGGTACGAAGTACTCGGAGAGTTAACAAACTCTCAGTACGTTGGCCGAAAGCCACACGCTATGTATTTGATTAGGTTTAACTATGCTAGACAGTTAAACAGATACATTTACCCCTAGGCGGCTTGGCCGCAATAATAGTAAATAAAACACTTCTGATTTTGAAGCATAAAAGTTAAGGTATTAACTTTGAGCCCTGGTCTTGGGCTGTAAGTGTCCTTTGGATAAGGAACTTAGTATAAGTGACTCTTTGAGTCGAACGTCTTCCTCTGACGCTAAAGCTACGGCAGCCCCGCTGCAATACAGCTGTGGACGTGAATGTAGTACCTAATGCACAGGAAGGAGATGGAAATACAAGCGAGGATTGCTTGCATTCGGTCACACAACCTCGTCAGTCGGAGGAGTCAACTTCTGAACCTACCACATCCGATCCCATGAGCTCCAGTGCATTCATTATGAGAGGTGGAGATCACGGCGACGGTGGAGCCGCTGGTGAAAATGCAAACAGAGAGATGTCACGCGAGGAAAACATGAAGTCTGCAACGCTTCCCTGCCAGTTGATGCCAGCTGACCAGGAAGGCATGCATCTCGCCCTCAATAGGAACGTTTGTCAGGCGCGTTCGGGTCTGATTTCGCACTCGCTTAAGAATGCTGAAGACGCTTTCCACCGCGTGTGTCCCAGGAGGATCACTCGCAAGGCCAACCGAGAATCGCCTGAGCTTCCCAAATACTTGTTAAGTTAAAGTCTTATCAAGCATCGTTGATTGGAAGTGCAGACGCAGAGTCCAACTTTTGTTTAAAAACCGTAAGGCTATTATATTCATCTTTGAGCATATTTCTCTGGGTCCATATTTTGTGAGCTATTCCACTGCCAAAGTGGTCCGAGCGCCTAGTTTGTTGACGCCTGGTAATTCCACCTAAAGAAATTCGTTTCTTACCGTAGGTACCTCGTGGTTGTACCGCAAGCTCTTCCATCAATCTCCAGTAGAAGCACGTTAGAGTACACACGACCACCGCAATTAGCTCTTTTTCCAACCTCAACGACCAATGTAAAGTGGCTGGTGTCGTTGGAAAGTTCAGCTCTTCGTGACCAGCCAATAGATATCAATTTCTGCAGGTGAATTTTGATTATTAATTCTGACTTTTTTTTGGAGAATATCTTTTAAGTCAATAAAATCTAAGCATTTTCTTGAAAGGGTTAGGCCATATTAACTTGTTTATTCGTATTCTAGATATTCTTAAATGAAACAGCCCCTAATAGTACAAAGAATGAATGATTAGATGCCTGGATTTATTGGATGCAGTACCCCCTGTTCCTATCACTTGAAAAATCGAGTCCAGTATTTTGAATTCAGTACAATACAGTACAATTTTCTTTTTTTCGTGCCGTCGGATCTTTGATAAACTTCAGGATGCTGCTTACGAAGAAGATGTTAAGGCAAAAAAGGTATAGTTTGTATGCTGAAACATGGTGTATCTGCAGATCCTAAAAAATATTAATGACCTCCGAAGCAGGGTGCATTACAGATAGTTTACAGTTACAGACAACGACGATGAAATTTGAAACTGCGGTACCACTTTCAGCCTATCAAGTTTCTGGGTGTCGTGCATAATATGTTTGGACCCGGGCGGTGTTTCAAAGGTATGGCTTCGTTGTCTGCAGCGCCCTTCCTCATCTGCTTATGTCTTCCGATTGCCTTCACCTCAATCACGAAGCCGGTTGCCAGCTGTTGTAGCCTGCACAGGTTGTAATGGCTTTTTTTAGTGACGCAGCAGGCGTTGACAAGGTACTATTGGTGTGTACAGATGCATAGGGTTGGAAGCGCCGGTTATCCGTAACCACGAAACACAGTATGTTGGTATCAACACTTTTAGGTGTGTTTAAAAAAACGCTTTTTTAGGGAGAGTAGGGAATGGGCTTACAGTACTGTATATTAATAGTAAAGTTCTTCCGGGTAAACAAGAACTCTTGGCTGCCCGGATATTATAAAAAAAATGTCATTCCGGCGGTGGAGATTGCAGAGACTGGTGCCATCGGACAGAAACGGCACATATCTATAGCCAACGCAATGCCCCCCCCCAGGGAAACAAACGTGGCTATAAACGTAAGTAGCTGCAAGTTGAGGCCTCCGGCATTAAATATATTTCGCCAACACTGTTCGTTTGAGGAAATGTTGTGGTAGTGCATAAATGTAGGCGTCGCCGCTACTCGGAATTTCTAGAGGAATGGAGCTATAACAACAAAAGTGCTCTATGTATTGATCATCCCGTACAGCTTGATTGGATGCCAAATTAAGGCGCATCTCAAATCGCCCAAACTTGCACCGTCCACGAGACAGCGAAATATCTTGTCTGCGAATCGGGTACACGTGCAGACACTAGCGTTTGGCAGCTATTATAGTTAACATGTTTAATAATGTTAAACTAGGGTTGACTGCAACGAGTACATGAATCGAAAGCTCGCAACGAGCTCTACCAAGTACATCTGCTAGCTTGAAAAGTAGGTTTAATCGGTCAGGATCATTTCGTTTTGAGTTGTCTCTGTATGTCAGTGTAATTGATAAGGAATGCCCTTAAGTGTCATAGGGTCACTGTGTCCATACTCCGTGCTCTCGCCTCCCGTATCGAACATGAAACCAACAAATGCGTTGTAGACCAGTTTAGCATTCTTTTTCTGCGCATGCCTAAACCATAAGTCATATCAGACTGTATTGTCAGCGAACTACAATAACTTGTTAAGTATTCTAGCGGTCACACTTCCTTAAAGTGCTGATTTGTGAGCGTGCGGAGCACAATGAACGAAGCCATCAATCCGTTTCCGAAAATCAGTAAGCATCATGCACAAAAATATCCGGTTCAAATGGCAGGTTTCATTTCGATTTCCTTTATTTCCTTAATATTCGTACACAACAGCTACTGTAACCGGTAACGAACATGAAAGTTCACTTTTGAACTAACAGTGGAGATGCTCTAGGAGTAAATCTGGATTGATTGCCCGTTTTCATTTGTTACATGAAACGTTGGCAAATCGTACTGTACCGCCCTTTTGTCGATCGTGTTGTGGACTGAGAAGTTCGGAAGGGCAAGGTACATGTAGGGTCATTCCGTATTTTGCAGCCTTAGACTCATTCGCGTTTATGACACTTCAACATGGTCCGACACAGGCTGGCACTCATCTTCTTGGTAGCCATTGCCTGTGTTCCTTGCACACAGGCCATCGACTGGACATTTTGGAGCGATGACGACGATTCGACTCCTTCGCCAGCGCTACCCCATATTACGTACACAGAGACCCAGTCTCCAGAAAAAATAAAGAACATGATGGGGTCTGATTATCTGGATCGTGCCAAGTCTGTGATTAACTTAGGAATGGGATCAAATTCAGACTCCGGTCTGTTGCCTTATGTCAGTTCCTCGTCAGCTTCAGCTTCGGAGTCTCCTGCCACCGCAGCTTCATCCTCTGCCCCATTGATCGGTTCGGACGATGGTTTGGCACCAACTGCTCTGTCACTTACGGGGTCTTCGGCTTTGGACTTAGCAATACCCTCGATGGACGAGATCGCAACGCCTTCAACTGCAGTTACCAACTTTAAATCTACTTACAACAACTGGGTTGGGCCTTGGACTGAGTCCTCGGACGCGGCTTGCTATCGTGAGGCTCATTTTATGAAAAAGTGTCCGAGTAATTACGACCGCAATGAACTGACCAGCACGTGTTGGACGGAGTGCCCGATGGATTATCCCGTGAGGTGTGGCATGCAGTGTATCCAACAAAATAATGACTGCGGTCGTGAGAATGCCGCCAAGGTTTCTGCTGTGGCCATGTCCGCCTTAAGTATGGCCACCTTCGGTGTATTCGGCGAGCTTACCAAGTATGGAAAACACGTGATCTGGGCCGTCCGATGCGCTAACTACTAGTACATGATGGTCTTTGTGAGAGCAGTCGTCCGTTTCACTCGTAACCAAATGGTGCTGGACCCACAGACGTCACGGGCAAACTTTTGCTACTTCTGTACCAGACGAACTACGTCGTAAGTGACCTCCCAGCTACAATCTACGCGCGTTCAGGTAGAAAAGTCCCGCCCGAGCTAACACGCCGACTCATCCGTACCGCTCAGCTAATCCTTCAGTTGGTAATCACTTACAATGGTCAAATTATTGAAAGTTGGGAGAAATTCAAGGCTTTTTTTAATCGAGCCAATTTTACGGAAGCAGCCGAACAACTCACGAAGGGCGAGATCTCAAGTTTGGAGACGGGTATGAAGCAGAACTCGACGTGCGATGACGACCTTAGGACGCTTACTAGTCAGGTCTGGATGGTGGTGAACGAGTTCAGACAGAAGAACCCCAGGATCAGCGAAGCCGAGCTCCGTCTAAAGTTGAGTGAATCGGATCTCGTTTTGTACCACATTCCCACAGTGACGAACAACTGTATGACCAAAATGATCTCCGAGTCTACAGTAGTCACCGCGTACAAGACACGCGAAACGCTCCGCAAGACCTACGGAGTGACGATCAACGATCTTATCAAGTCCGAGAAGAGCGACAACGGCTCATCCATGGCTGCGAAGCACAACACCTACGTATGGATCGACAACTTCTTCATCTTCCTTTCATATGGTTGGGAGCCTACCGACTTGTCGACTCTATTTGCAGAATACCTTCAGACTACCTGCGGTCCCACTCAGTTTATGGGTAAAGTCGATGACGGAAAGGAAGCTGCCACTTTGGGCATGAACGCTCTTCGCAAGGCTTTCAAGAATAGTACGTTATCTTGGACCAAAAAGGGCGACGGCGTCGTCATTATTAATTTTAAATGCAAGGATACCGAGGACGTGACCGTTAACATCAAGTCCGGCGGTGACAAGATCGACGAAGTCAGTCTCAAGGCTGGAGGTACTGCCCAGTGGGAGTCGAACATCACAGCACTTGGCGGCAAGACGCTGTACATGGATCGCTGGCGCCCAGGCTTTCTTGGACTCCCTGGCACAGGCGGAGGTTCCTTGGTTTTGTGGGTGCCAACTTCTCGTCAGGGCGGTCATTTAGTGCTCACTGCCCAGCTTAATGTGAGTTAGAGAAGCTGTCAATGTTGCCACGATGGCGCTATTTTTAATCTATAAATATTTATCATATTAATTACAAAAAAAATACTTCACGGAAACGTGGCTGGTTTAAAAGGGGTTGACACGTCCAATACAACTCACAAGTCATTTGGAAATCGTGCACCGCTTGACGATTTATTTTGTACTTAGACAGGCCCTTAGTGAGTTCAAGTAAATTGCCCAATCACGTCGATTTCGCAGCAGAACGCACAGTACTTGTATTAAATAAAAACACAAGCCAAGTTCGGCAAATTTGGTCAGAATTCACAATATTAAATAACACGAGCCAAGGAGCATCTAATAAAGATACGTTTTTGTGCTAAATAAACAGAATGCGAATGTAAAAAATTCGCTCTTTGCTTCGCTTTTGAAATTCCTTCGGCACCCCCCGAAGCTCGGGGGCTAATCCCTCCGGTCCAACTTCCACTGATTTGATTGGGCAATGGAGCTGTGTTTTCTTAAGTACCGTACATGTTCAGTTTTATACATTTATTAAAAAAGCATTTTTAAATAATAAAAAAAATATTATTTACATTTTCAAATAAATTTTATTTTTATCGCGTGAGGTCCTCGAACATGGCTCCACTTTGGCGCCGACCGAGCGTTCTACTGGGCGGGTCGGCACTCTACGCAGGCGTGGCGTTCGCCACGTACGTGACGCTCTACGACCCTAAGAAGAATGGCGATAATGCAACCACACCGGCCGTAAACGACGCGAGGCGTCTGCAGCTTTTCGACATGAACGCTACCAAGTATGACAAGGAGGTGGACTGGGACGAAAGACTTACGGGGATCTCACTCATGCGGCATTTCCTGCTACAAAAGGCACGTGGCAAGGTGTTGGAGATCGCGGCCGGAACGGGCCGCAATCTGGTCTTCTACCCTGCGCCTTCGAAGGTGGTTCTTACCGACTTTAGCCGCGGAATGCTCGACCAGGTGTCGAAAACGCAGCAACAGAGGCTAGCCAGCTGCGAGCTTAAAGTCATGAGTGCGGGCGAACTGGCCTTCCCAGACGGGCAATTCGACACGGTGGTGGACACCTTTGGGCTCTGTAGCATGGACGACCCGGTGCGCACGCTGCATGAGATGCAACGCGTCTGCAAGAATGACGGCGGCCGCATTTTGCTGCTGGAGCATGGCCAGAGCAGCTACAAGTGGCTGTCAAACATCTTGGACAAGTTCGCGGACCTACACGCCCAGAAGTGGGGATGCCACTGGAATCGCGACATCATGGCGCTAGTAGAGCAGGCCGGACTAGAGGTGGAGACCGTGCACCGTTTCCATTTCGGTACGACGTATTACATCGTAGCCAGGCCTCAAGCCAAGCCTGGCCGAAAGCCAAAGAAGGACGAATGATTAGATGACTGAAATAATGGGAAGACGTGCATGTCAATACTACTAGTAGTAGTAGTAATAGTGCGACTTATGCCTGGCGTTCGGACTCCGGAGTATCCGGATCTATGTACATGTAGTTTGGTTGAAGTGCAAGAATCGCAAAGCTGGAAATTTGTGCTGGTCGTCGCTTGTGCTGGTGGTACTAGCCGAGCGCCGCCGCTACGCGGCGGTAATTTAGGTTTTACTCTAGATTTTTGCCTTCCCGCCTTCGCTTCGCTTTGGCGGGATAATTAGTCCAAATCCTCTGAGTCCCCCATGTGCCTAAATCGACTTCTTTAATTTCATAAATCTGCGTTTCATTTGCTACAAAATGCTGAGTTCCCAGTAAGCCGTGTAAATATTTTACCGGTACAAAAGACTGAGACCCTAGCATCATACTTACCATGCTCATAAACGATTACGCTAGTGATCTTGGCAGAGTCTCTTTATTGTTGTTGGCGATCACTGTACCTTAATCTTCCACCCGGAAGCACCTGCACTTCAGTCTAAAACCGCTAAATAATATATTTAGTTTAGCGTCGTGCTCGATTTCACGGGCCGTTTCTGAAACCTAGATTGCAACAATGCAAAGAATATCTGTCCAGCTTGCATCAAATACCCGCTTGTACTGCCTGGTTAAGCTTGTAATAAACTGACTATTAACCACTTCGCAAACCAAACTCGCTACTTTGAAAGAAAATTAAAAGTGTTTCAGAATTAGTCATTAGACACTCCAATCTGTGCCTGTTATGGTTATAGCCTTTGGATATAACGATGCGTCGCAAGACGCCTTGCTGTTGTTGTTGTTGATGGCGGTATTTTTATTTGATACTTAATTGATGATTCCAGGATGGATTAGGCTCTAAGTTGATTAACGTTTCTTTACGGGCCTACTTATAATAACCATAATTTACACCTCTCATGTTGTGTTGTTATCTTACCGCTGCATGTAAAACCTTATTCTACGCCTTGTCGGCAACGCGTCTGCCTATTAAGAAGTATCAGAATTTTGCTGTCTAAATAAACGCTTAGGAAACAATACAGTATTAATAGTAATTGTCATCAGCACATATTACTTCTTTTCCACGTCAATCTAAACTATCTATCTTTGTGGATCTAGTGACAACGTTTATAAGCACAGCTTTGATCTTACGGCAAGCCCACACGACCGGCTACTGCTGTACATGTAACATGTACGATTTAGCAATACCAGAAACCCACTCAGATAACGTATTATTAATAATGTTAATATCTTTACAATAAAAAAATTGAAATTATCATTTTAGTCAGTGTCACTCGCAGATCCTACTGAGTACAGAGTATTTAGTATACTTAAACCATGTCCTCGGAAACACGCATGCTTACGTGTACGCTAAGCACCCTGCCCTCCGTTTAGTACTCAAATATCAATGCATTATGAAAAAGTATAAAATATTAAAACGATGCCGCCTTCGGATAATGTATTAGCTTTGTGCAAATCCCCATATGTAAACTGGGAAACACATGCATTTATTGATGTCAACTACACATTCTAGTTTTTAACCAATTGAAGCCACCTTCGCTGCGCTCGGCAGCCAGTAGGAATATTTAAAAAAAAATTTCCAATGATTTGTCCGGAAAAGCGTGACAGGCACGACAATTTAGTGTGACGGACAGACAGGTTGCTGCAGTAGATGTTTAAGACTAGCCGTTCGCCGCCGCTACGCGGCGGAGTGGCATGGTTTGTTGGAGATGAGGTGGCCGGAACTTTATTGCTTCTTGGTGTCGCGTTTTGAGAGCGTGGCTCACCCCGTAGATCTTGGCATCGTGTATTTAACCACTTGCCTTTCCGTAGTCTCATTCGGCCCCGTATAATATCGTGGTTTGGAACGTTTCCGCTACCCCGTACTACAGGTTGGATGTTGTTTTCTTCAATGGCCCATGCTCTTTCGTGCTCTTCCCGGCTTCGAGGTTCCTGCCCACCCATGGCCCACGCTGCTCAGCGGTTCTGTCCTCTCTCTTGTGGGTTCATGCGCGTTAGTACGGCCTTTTCGTAAATGCTAACTTTTCTCTGTTCTCAAACGTTTATGTGGGTTGCACTGGCTTCGTGGTAGATACTATTTCGTGACCGTTGGCCTTCCATCGCCGGTGCTCTAGCCGAAGTGTGCTATTCCGTGGTTTGGTGACTTCATGCAGTCGTGTTGTTCCGTCGCCCGTGTATCGTGCTACCGCCGAGCTACTTGGCAAGGTGGAAGAGTTGACGATACTATTTCGTTACCATTGGCCTTCCATCGCCGGTGCTCTAACCAAAGGGTGCTATTCCGTGCTTTGGTGCCTCCATGCAGTCGTGGTTCCGTCGCCCGTGCATCGTGATCTCCTGATGAAGTGTCATCGACCGCGGAATCACGCTATAGTGCAATCACGGTGTGGTAATGCTGTCTATGGTATTGTGCTCGCGTAGTTATTCTGCGTTGCCCGTGTTATCGTGTTCTACAATGGCATCGTGCTCCACGGTGTGCAATCATGGCCCCCCCACACGTGCCCCCTCCCTCTCCCCCCCCTCGTGTTTTTTGTGGCTGGTCCGACGTCCGTTAAATCGTGTTCCCATGTACTACGGTTCTCCGTGGCTCGGTAAGCTCAGGTTCTACACTTGTATCGATCTCCGCGGCTCGAAGATTTTCTGACTATAGCTCCGCGGCTGCGTTCTTCCATGGCATAGCGGCCCAGACCATACTATCTAGTTATCTTGTGGTGTCCCGGTTGATCTGCCGTTTGTGCTTCGTATTTTACCGTGCTTCGTGGTCTACCGTGTTGTATCGTAGGTGATTTCCGTGCTCTGTAGCAGCTACGTGTTCTAGCCCGGTTTTAGGTAGAAAGTCTAACAGAGTCCGTGACTCTCAGTGCTTTCATAGATTTACATGTTAATTGCATCGGCCCGCTTCCGTGCTTTGTAGCTCTGTGTTCATATTTGTTTCCCCTCCATCGTACATACTGTTTCTTTCTGCCCTACAAATCCAGTTCGATAAGCTCGCACCTTCACCTAGGCTCACGCCCTGTCCTAAGCTCCCATACAACGCACCTAAACACGAAAGTAATTGTGACCAATGGAAAACGTTTATTTTTAGCCAATCAGTTTTTCTGGTGATTACGCGGATGTTTGTTGCGCTGGCGAGGTTTCCAGCGACGACGGCGGCGATTAATGCGCTCCTGGACAACACGCCGCGGCGGTTGTGGGGGCCCCATAGCGGCGGCAACTAAGGCCAGGCTTTGTTGGCGCGAATCAGTGGCTGGCTTCGGTTCTGGTGTGCGTGGGCGGTGCCAAAACGCCTGGCTGTATGGACCAGAGGCGCACGCGATGCACCTGCGGGCACCCGCTCGAGCCTGGCCCTGTGCGAATGCATCCCATGCTAAGAATTGTTCGCAACAGGCGCACAGCCGGAGCTGCAGCCCGAGACCGTCTGGCTCGAGCGGGGGGTGCACAATGACCGCCTGGCACGTCGAGCACATGGGAGGTAAACGTTCCATTGGAGAAATGTTTTATTAGAAACGTTTTTATTAAATTAGTAATATTATTTTTTAAGTATTAAACTAAGTATTTCGAAGTGTTGAATTACTACTTTGCTAAAATGCGATCCAGTGGTGTCGCCAGGGTCTAAAAAAAACAACAGCGCCTACGACGATATAATAGTACCGGTGTGCACGTCGGCGAAGCCTACCAATGCAAATTAACCCGCACACACGCAGCGCCCTTTGCATGAGGTGGCGGCCCACAGTTGAAAATGGGGCAAAATGATTTTTGAACGGTGCATTTAAGTACGATGTGTAGACCACATACAGTGTGTACACCACATATTGCAATTTTAGCGAATCGAGGCCGCCTTCGCTGCGCTCGGCAGCCAGTAGAATGCGCGCATTTGCGTTACATTAATTAACCCTAGCCCGTGACAGACAGACGGACAGACACCAGACTCCACTAGGTGTGTAAGATTATAATCGAGTACATGTATTCGTGTTTTGAAAGTGCGCTGTTTCAGTGACGCGGTCGGCACCGGGAAAAATGCTCTTCACTGTACTGTGCATGGACAGTGGCATTTTAATGCTACAGTCGTGCACCTCCAATTCGACACCGGTATCAGTCGATACCCTGCCAGATTTTATGATTACGCGAATCGGATGCGCAATTAATCACCACCCTAGCAATTAACCTCAACGGTTTTCCCCTCCTCGCGGAGGGATGACACGCCGCATCGATCTGATTTTAAATTTTGGATCGGACGTCTTCATACAAACACACACTTTGATTTTTACCGCATAAGACAATGGGACATCGCCCTTCCTCCTACATGTCCCTAACTCTAGCACAAAAGCAGTCTTTGTGCGAAGCACAAGTCAGATCCTGCATGCTCTCACTCCGAACTTGCTCGTTGGGCAACGGAGCGCTTTAAGACCCCCCAAGCAGTAAAGCGCACTACCGTCCTGAGTATTCTTAAGCGGTCGGCGGACGTTGCCGCCTTGCCGGATACCTATCGCGACCGGAAGCGCTGTCGCGCGCCTGACGCCAAGATTATGCAGAAGATTGGCGTAAATGTTGTACTGAATTAACAAATGATATATCAGTGCACTGAGTTTACGTTTATTTTTTGCTCTACGTTGTGCACTTATGCCCTGGCACTATTAATATGGTCCGGCCTGTCGAATTGGAGGTGCACAACTGTACTGTATTTAAAAAATGCTGATGCACAATTTTTGTGCATCAGCCATCGACACAAAAGGTTGTTAATTTGATTCTAAGACACTCCTCTTTGTACTGTAGTGATACAGTCGGAAACACTACATGTACACGTATCTGAACGAATTTTTCCGAGAGCAAGGTATTATATCATCGCTCTTTTATTTGAAAGAGTTGACAGGACCAGGGTTTCACATAAATAGCCGGCATCACTTTCGAATCAGCAGCGCACCCAGCAAAGCCCCGGCCGCCCCGTACCAGCAGTCGGCGCTCG